CTGTCAATATTAGTATTCTGCATTTCTTTAAATGAAATTAATTGCTGCTGATATTTTTTGTGAATTGGAGAAGCAAATATCTACATGTATAAATTAATAAACTACGAAAATATTTCCAACGGGATTTTCGGTATGTTGTTATCACAATCCTGAAATCTCGGAATTAGTCCCGGAATTTAGATATTCATTACTTTTCAACAACTTAAATCGCGAAAATTGCTTCTATATTGTTTGAGAAGCTGTCCTACCGTAAAATAAATAATAAATAAATAGGGTTGAACCCTACTTTTTTATTTGAAGTGGCGTTTTTATTTGTTCTCTCGGACGTCAGGATTTATTTTAAAGGACTTTGTAATTTCAAAGATATGATTAATTCCAAAAATTATTAAAAAAATTCAATGCAATTTAGAATATGCTTACCAAAAGCCAAATGAAATTTCTTTAGAATTTCAAAAAATTAAAATTTTGTGGTTTCAAAAGGACGTATAGGCAATTTTTTAAGCTGATAAAGTTAGAAGGACNAAAGATATGATTAATTCCAAAAATTATTTAAAAAATTCAATGCAATTTAGAATATGCTTACCAAAAGCCAAATGAAATTTCTTTAGAATTTCAAAAAATTAAAATTTTGTGGTTTCAAAAGGGCGTATAGGCAATTTTTTAAGCTGATAAAGTTAGAAGGATGAAATGCGAGGTTGTTATCGAGTTTATATAAGTCCTTGTAGGGTTCATAGTTTGATTGCACTTTGTTCATTTTTAACTTTGTAATTATGAAACTTTAGAATTAAGTGATGTTTGCTGTTTGTAAATCAAAAAGAAAATTTTATCACTCNGTTCATAGTTTGATTGCACTTTGTTCATTTTTAACTTTGTAATTATGAAAATTAAGTGATTTTTGCTGTTTGTAAATCAAAAAGAAAATTTTATCACCTCAAGAGAAGCAGTTTCTATTATCGCCATCAGTGCAAATTACAAATCCCGAAAATCTCGGGATTATTTGCCAAGAATCTTGTGATTTTTGGGACTCTAAAAAGGCCGGGATCATGGGATTAACATTCCTAATATACATACATATATTTTTAAATATAATCAAGTTTAAGTGTCATACCAAAGGTTAATTTTGTGTGTTGGTGTTGGCAAGCGTCGCAAAAGCGTCCGAAAATGCTTCGAAAGAGCAGTGTGATGTTGCATGACTCAATAGTTAATTAAAACTTGGATTACCTTGCAGACGTCTTGCTCTCACCGATCACCAAAACCGTGTTCCTTCTTTGCAAATTTATTGTGCTAAGATGCCGCCTATGTGTGACTCAGTGTGGATGCCATTTAAATTCCATCATGTTTAAAAACTTTGTATAAATTAGCAGGGACCGACAACAAAAGTTATGATCGAAACTAAATGTCGTTCTCGTAGTTTTATTCCCAAGAACGCTTCAAAACCAAAACCAAAATGAGAACAAAACAGTCGAGAACGTTCTCAATGGGAATTATATAAGAACAAAATCCTGTGGGACGTTCCCAAAGAGAATAAATTACGAAAGATGCTTTCGGGAACATTTCTAAAGGAACAAAAGTCTCGGGAACGTTTTGGAAAATAATTCAACGGGACAAAAGTCTAAGGAAATTTCTCTCGAAGAATAATTTGGAAACAAAAGTCTCAGTAACTTTCTGGCAGGGAACAAATCTTGTCTGAACTATCCGCGAAGAATGGAAGCGAGAACAAAATTTTTCGCATAGCGTTCATTATTTTGAAATGTTTGAATATAAAAGTTAATCAAAAAAGAACTGAAAGATAACTATGCAAATTAAGTCAACGAAAGACTTAGGACAGAAACTTTTCTTTTGCCGAAAATGNGGAACATTTCTAAAGGAACAAAAGTCTCGGGAACGTTTTGGAAAATAATTAAACGGGACAAAAGTCTAAGGAAATTTCTCTCGAAGAATAATTTGGAAACAAAAGTCTCAGTAACTTTCCGGCAGGGAACAAATCTTGTCTGAACTATCCGCGAAGAATGGAAGCGAGAACAAATTTTTTCGCATAGCGTTCATTATTTTGAAATGTTTGAATATAAAAGTTAATCAAAAAAGAACTCAAAGATAACTATGCAAATTAAGTCAAAGAAAGACTTAGGACAGAAACTTTTCTTTTGCCGAAAATTAAAGATTGTTTCATAAATGGACAGTTCACCCTAATAATAAACGATCTGGAAGTTCAAATGATCCAGACTTCCGCATACACCCTTCTAATTTTTAACGTTAAGTTCTCAAAACTTTTATACTCGTTTTGTTCTCTAGCAGAACGTTCCCCAGTAGTGCTGCAAAACAATCGATGGGAGCAAATTGTTGTCGCGAAACTTTTTTTATTAGTTTAAGAAAAATAAACCAATACACTGTTTTGTTTTGAACTTTCTTACTTAAACTTTGTTTTATTCTGTATTTTCTAATACTTTCAAGGGCCTATGTGTGCTAGTGGGGTCACTGGCAGCCACTTCAACCTAACCTAACCTAACCTAATACTTACATATAGCCCATTTCCACTAAAAGCTTAACTGCAGTTAAGNCTTCAACCTAACCTAACCTAACCTAATACTTACATATAGCCCATTTCCACCAAAAGCTTAACTGCAGGTCAGGTAAGTTGCAAGAATTTTAACATGTGGTGATCGGCAGGGTTTATTTCTTACTTTTTGCTTTTTTACTTTTGTTTGCTTATACTTAGCATGAAGTTGCAATCTCCCTTTTTCAATGCACTAAACTGCGGTTAAGGTGGAAATGAACTATTCGTTTAAAAATAAAAGAAAAGTTGTATTTTTTAGCTTTTAAATCTATTAAATATGATATGTGTAAATAAAATAATATTTGTGCAGCCCTTTTCCAGTTAACGGGCCACCATATTATTCTATCGATATTATCGATGGTTGTCTTTAAAACTATCGAAAACCATCGATGGTTTTACAGCACTTTTGACCAGACTTTTGTTCTTATTTGATTCTCCTTGAAAAGGTTCTTGATACTTTCGTTCTCAATTTGTTTTCTTTGGAAACGNCTTTTTCAATGCACTAAACTGCGGTTAAGGTGGAAATGAACTATTCGTTTAAAAATAAAAGAAAAGTTGTATTTTTTAGCTTTTAAATCTATTAAATATGATATGTGTAAATAAAATAATATTTGTGCAGCCCTTTTCCAGTTAACGGGCCACCATATTATTCTATCGATATTATCGATGGTTGTCTTTAAAACTATCGAAAACCATCGATGGTTTTACAGCACTTTTGACCAGACTTTTGTTCTTATTTGATTCTCCTTGAAAAGGTTCTTGATACTTTCGTTCTCAATTTGTTTTCCCGAATATTTCGTTCTTTTTATGTTCTTATTGAGTACGTTCCCGAGAGTTTTGTTCGCATTTTGTTCTGTACAGAAACGTTCCAGAACCTTTTGTTCTCATTTGTTCTCTTTTAAACATTTCAAAAATTGAAATAATTTTAATTCACGCTGCTATTTTTCTAAGTAGAACTGTTCGTACGCACATATGTATTATGTGAAATGGAATACATGTTCGCGGTTTTCGCAACAAATTGAACTACCTTGTAGCCTTGTCTGCCTGCAAATTAGATGCCATTTAAACTATTCAAACAAAAACAATTACATTTAAGTACATTACAACGTTGCTGATGAAGTTGTCGTACGGCATGNATACATGTTCGCGGTTTTCGCAACAAATTGAACTACCTTGTAGCCTTGTCGAAAGTCCTGCAAATTAGATGCCATTTAAACTATTCAAACAAAAACAATTACATTTAAGTACATTACAACGTTGCTGATGAAGTTGTCGTACGGCATAGGAGAGTTCAATTTAGTATCAAATATTCCTGGTTATTCGCACCATTGAGTCTGCATATATGGTTAGTATCTATGTACACAAATATATACATATGTGCATTAGGGTGGTCCGCAATTTTTTTAGGGACCAGAACTAAATAATATCGATGATTTATTTTCATCATTAAGATTTAAAATTCACATGCGTTATGCGGCTATTATCTGTTCTGAAAAAATAGTAATAAAATTTTAAAGTTAAGATTTCTTAATATATAAATATAACGATTTTATAAATGAAAAACTGTAAAGCTCGGGCTGCACTATTAAATATTAATCGATAAAAAAGCGGGTTTTCCCCTTTTTATATAATTTTCAGCGGTGCCGCAGGAACATTCCAAAATGTTGATTTTCCTGTGTTTTTTGGGGTGACCCTAATGTACAATGTAATGTATCAATATTACCCCAATCAAAGCTCGTTTTTTAATCACCCCGTTTACACATCCAAATCTCAGATTATTAGCCGTCAAATTAGTTGTGCTTGTTATTCTCACATCTCAAGGAAAAGTTATGTTTCTTCTCTGCGCCACCGTGATCACGTTTTTATGCTATAATAAGCAATATAAATATATTTTAACTTAACATTTTATTAAAAATACCTTTACAAACCTCTTTTCCTTGCTAGCGTACATTTTTGTTTACTTTTACATTTGGCATTTTCTCTTTTTTTGCAAAAACAATCGATAAAACTAGGATGGACACCGAAAAGTTATCGGTTTAATCTGAGATTATTTTATAATTACAGATTAACAAGGGGCGAATTTTATATGCCTATCTCTTGTTATAATTACAGATTAGGGTGTTAAGCTCGAAAATGAGGATAATCTACTTATATGTGAACCTAGTATAAGACAATAACTTTGTGCATAAAATTGTACACTTGCTATTGACCACACGGTTGGCGCTAACTAGTCGTCTACCGTTTGGATGTTTCGCAGTTAAACATGAAAATTGCATTTGCACTTCCGGACCGTTTCGGTTACTTTAAGTAACTGTATTCCAAATTAGCGAACTTATTTTTCAGCGCAGCAATTTGATACAATAACTTGTGCAGTCTAATAATCGAACCATCATGCCATCGCGTCAATATAACAACAACAATAAGAATAAAACGAATAAGACTGCGATGCACTAGTGTTGTTGGGACGGAAGGCAATTGCAGTAGTCAAAGTCAATTGCTCGCAGTGGTGGCGAAAACTTTTCCACTTTCGCGCCACTTACTTACAAGTTGCAAGTCGCCCACAGCTAACACGCAGCCGTTAAAGTTAGCTGCAACTTCAATGGCGAAGTTCGACGCGGAAAACGGAGGTGACGGTAACAGGTTCATTAAAAAGTTGTTTGGCTCTATTTAAACGAATTGGTTTCCTCATCTGCTAAAATGATTTTTTCTGTTGCTTATTTTTCGCTATTTTCATTACGCTTTTCTAGGAATCAACAGCATCGGAGCATGGATGTATTAGCATCCATTAGCGATGGACGGGCTTTCAAATGCTCTGCTCTTGCAATCAATGTCTCATTCAGTTCAAGGCATTAATTCAGATTTTTTTTTTACTGAAAGTTTAGTATAGTGCGTATACGCGGATGTAGTGGTTTTTTGTTATATTAGCTATGTTTATACATACATACATATACATACGTATTATCGCTTTGAAATTACAATCAGCGTAGTTCATCTGAGTTCAGTCCAAGTTACATATTTCAGTTTTAGTTTGGAGTAAATATTTTGTTGAATTATGTATTATTTAGGTTTGGTATGGTTTAGTGTTTGTTGTTTACTTACAATTCCGCATGACAAGTACATAAGTATGTATGTATGTATATGCATAGCTTTGAAAAAATAGAGTATGTCGCTGACATGACTGCCTGCCGCTAGCGGTTCAACCTGTTGGCAGACCGCTGAGAAACCGGTCTCCAGTGCACTTCATCATTGAAACCATTGCGCAACTTGTACAACCAAGCATTAAAAATACATTTCCTTTACAAAGTGGAGCAACAATTTAACGTCAATTGGATCAGCACAAGCGACCACGTTGGGAAAGGCCGTATTTCCTGAAACCGTTGATGTGAAATACGATGGGTGTTCAATGAACCCTAATGAGGGAAATTTTGTGGGAATTAATGAGGAATTACCTTATTAATCCTGCGTAATTTGTTCGCCTTCCTAGTATAAGCTTCAAAGTATGAGAAAATACATATACACATTTGCTTGAACATACCTGCAACTTCGTTGCTAGTCTCATTGTCACACGATGATGTTTTTTTAACAAAGGTTTATTTTAAACTACAGTTGATACCCCAACTGATGAAAAATAAAATTTTCCGCTCAATATTAAAAATCACGTTACCAACCTGTCAAGATATCGAGTACAACTTCAACTAAAGGGTAGAAGGTAAATAAATAAAGGAGATCTTCAAAAAGGTCCAGCAGCGGAAATAAAGCCATATCCGCCATATAAAATCGCGAATTAAACATAGAGGAGACTCTGTCACCAGTTAGCGACAATTTTCGAATCGCAGTCGCAACTTGTCAACATTCAAACCCGTAATACACGTCACAAAACTGCGAAACGACCAGAAAATTGTCATGAACTCGCTATAGAATCTACCCACAAATCGGATTACAGTGCTTCAGCGATTTTCAGATTTTCTGCGCATAGCTGAATGGAGGCGGAAAACTATCGACAGTATTGACTATGGATATTTGCCGATAGTATCGATGAACACTATCGCTAATCGATACTATTGGCCATTTTTAGTTCATAAGAAAAATCTAATTTTTATCAAGAGATGTAGTTTTATTAAATTAAATGTACAATATCGACAGCTGAGTGGAAGATTGACGTATCTCGTCAACCAGTTCGAAAACTTTTCAAGAACGCCCTATCTGAGAACTGGCTGCCGAGATAGGTCGATCTTCCACTCAGGTGTCGATGACCTGTACTTTTTAATTTATTTGTATGCGCACCTGTTCAATGGATACCCTTAGTGTCATAACAGGCATTCCTCCTTTCCATGCTTGCGGGAACCGAAAAACTCATTTAAATTTTTTTTTAACTCATGCTGTTTTTAGGTAAAAAAGTCAAAAGATATAAATTTTTGCTTTTGAAAGTTAAGGTAATTTTTTATTAAATTTGACCTTTAAAATTGCCTCCAAAACTAAAATTTTTAATTTTTTATATTTTTTAGGGCCAAACTCTTAAAAATTGGTTTTTGATGCGCTTTTCGGTTCCTTCGACCACAGAAATGGATTTCTGAACGTAAGAACAGCAAAACTATGTGTTTAGAACTTTTTAAAAAGTTCACTGCATACTGTGTTCAGGTCAAAAAGGAAAAAAATTGAAAATCCCTTAATTTTGAAGGTCATTGAAAGGTCAAGGTAATTTTTTTTTTTCAACAAAACTATTTTTGATCAAAAGCTTTAAAACACTATTGAATTTTTTTCGCTAGCTGCTCTCGTTTTGGAGATGATAGAATTTGTCACGAATAAAGTTAAATTTCCATACTGTGCTCCCTACGGCTTCCCAATACGATCAACATAAAAAGTGGAGATCTTCGGGGTCATTTGGAGGTTCTCAAGCCATTCCTGGATGATCCCGAGTTCTCCTTCTACAAACCCTACAAGGGCACAATTCCTGAAAGTTACTGCTGTGAAACGTTAATAACTCAATCATAGGGTCCCAAGTAAGTTATACATACAGACGGATCGAAGATGGACGACGACAGTACTGGGGCCATTAGCGCACACAAGGGGTGGGTTTTGGGGTTCAAACCCCCCCTAAAGCTAATAACCTCAAATACAAACTGTATCTTAAAGCTAAGAATCCAGCTCTCAAGGAAATTATAAGAAATATTTATTATAATTTCTGCTGCTTGAAAAAGCGCGTTGCTTTTGCTGGAAATTTTCATGAGGAAATGAATATACGAGCATTTTTTTCTTGAGAGCTGCAAACTGATTTAAGAAATTTTGGTAGAAGAAAATCTCTTTTCCATTTCTCGTCCGTCGTTTTATATGAATTTTTCATTTTTCTTGAGAGTTCAGTTAATTTTTTCGGTATTCGAAATATTAAAAAAAAAATAGAAATCGTGAAAAATCACCATCTCTATCGAAAGCCAGAAACCAGAAATCGAAAAAAGGAACATAAAAGTGCAAAAATTGATGGAATCAATAAATTTATATTAACTGAGTCTTTTTGAATATTTTTTATTAGGTACTTTTGAAAGTTGAGCGCATCTTGAGTTTCTAGAACTTTTTATTAAACAAGTAGTTTTTAAGGAAAGAACTCAACCGACTTCAATTCTTATATTCAAATTTAGGGGTACCGTTAATTTCTTCATGATCCAATCATCGGATCTCTAACACAAATTACGGGACGAACCTTGAGGTACCATCTTTCCAATAAAAAAAGGATTATTGAAATCGGTTCACGAGGTCCAAAGTTATGTATTCCGGCGAATTGATAAGCTCCCCTTTTATTGAAGTCGGTTAAAAACGTTTGAGTTCTGCTAATCTTATGTAAATAAAGCGCAGTTTATGAATTTTAAAACGTTTATTTATTTATTACAGACTGTACATAAAACTTGCTTAAATATATTTTAAAGAGCGTATTATCTGAAGAAAATGTTCAGTATTTTCCGGTGATATATCTAAACCCCCCCTAAAATATATTCCTGGGTGCGCCCCTGACTGGGGCAGTCGTACTTGGACCAAGATTCCAGAAAAGTCTGCAAATGTTCACATACCCATGTTTCACGAATGTCTTCGTAGAAGGAAAAATGGGGTCAGAATAAATATTATGTCGGAAGGTCAGGCAGTGTTAAAGCGTAATGCTGTGGTGTGTTCCGGGACATGAAGAGTTTGAAGGCGGATATACTGCAGAACTACTTAGGATCGGGGAAGAATCTCGGATTGCTGCCCACTTGTCTTCTCTGGAGACGGACTCCAGGTTTTGTGGGCTGGTGGAGGAAATCCCAAAGCATATTGTATGTGAATGCCCACGTATCACGAATAGCGATGTTCCGATATAAGTAAATAAGAGTATGTACTCGATACTTTTGTTTCAATACCAACTACTTTTTTTACTTGAATCGTTTTATCGATACCTACTTAGTATCGAAATAAAAGTACTTGTATCGAATCGATTTGAGGAAGTGCCATATCTTTCGATCATATTTTTTCTATGGAAAATAATTGCTTCGCTTTTATGAAAGATAATTGCTCTAAGCAATGGCACCGCAAAAATCTAAAGCGGGGATATATTTTTACAAAGTTCAAGCAATGTTTTGTAGCCGTAACGTTTTGTGGGAACCTTTCAAAGGTTTAATTTTGTGTCTAAGTAATCGTATTACTTCTAATCTTACTAATGATCAAATAAATATATCGATACCTCAACTGAAAACATATTGAAAATATTTGAGATAGGGCGCTTTGAATCGGCAGCTGAGATAGGGCGTTTTTGTACCGAATTCTGAAAGAGGGTGGTCTTGAAAAGTTTTCTGATATAAGGCGCTTTTCAATCAAATTCTGGAATAGGGTGCTTTTGAAAAGTTTTCTCAGATTAGGCGTTTTCAAACTGGCTGCCGAGATAGATCGATCTACCACTCAGGTGTCGCAAAAGATATGTCACAGATAACGCCTGAAAATTACTTTCGCTTTGTTGCATATAAAAGGATGAAAAGTTATCGATATAAGTAGGTATCGATACATTCGGTTCACTCATATAAGTAGTATCGAAATAGCGATTTGAGTAAACTCATTTGAGTAGGTATCGATACTTTGATGGTATCGGAACGTCCCTAATCACGAATAGCAGACTGATACACGTTGGAGAACCATTGCCTTCTTCATTTAAAATTTCGAACATGGCACCGCCCAAAGTGCTTAACTGTTTAAATTGCCTAAGGTTTGAGTGATTATAATTAGGGTTTAGCACAATAGATCTTCGTAGGTCGCAACGGGAGTATTTTTGCCGTAATAATAATCCCAGCAAGCAATTAGGTTTGATATACATTTGAGAAGGATTTGAAATCAAAGCATTTCTCAAATGTCAAAAGTTTGAAACTGATTTGATATTGATTTGAAAATTACAGCTTTCTCAATAAAAAGGGGAGTTTGATCTCCATTTGAGAATATGGTTAACTCTCAAATCAATTTCAAAGGTTATTTATCAATTGTACTTCAAATGTGGAAATAAAATTTATTATAGGAAATGTATATTTCATATTTATTTTTTCTTCGCGATGTACATATGTATGTACATAACAAAAGAAACAATTAGGATAAAGTAATTTATAATAAATTCGTCTTGAATGGCTGCAGCTTCTTCAATCGGCGCAAACATCAAATCCACTATTTGTGGGCTTTCTCTTTGAAAATTTGTTTCTATTCATTGTATTTTTTAAATTGATCTTAATTTTATTTTTAAAATTTTTGATTTAACTGCGCATTTTATATCGTTTGACACTTGCCATCTTTCTTCAAATCAACCTCAAATTAAATTCAAATGTAAAATTTAAACCTCGTTTTCAATTTGAGAATCATTTGAGAAAAAGATTTGATATCAAATTGAGAAATACATTTTTCTCAAACGTTTGGAACTGTGGTTGTTGTGGGATAATAATACTAATAATATGTATGTCAAAAGAAACATGTGTATGTATGTACAATTTTATAAGCCTGTACAGAATAATGAACTGTTATACGCAGTTAATTTGTTTTTATTGTACTAGCTATGTTTTAGTTTTATTATAAGTTTGTTCCACAAGCTACTTGTAGAAAAACTCGAGCAAAGTTCAAACTGTCAGCGTATATAAAAAAAACTCTAAAACTTACTTGTGGAACGCGTATGTGTAACTCGAGGTGACTTCGAGTAGAATGTGGAACAAACCTATTATGTTATCTAAATTCTTGATAAACTTTACACATTGGAAAACAAATTAAGAACTCAAACAAATTTTTGGTAGGTTTTGGTAGAAAATTTCGGTAGGTAAAAATTTTTGTCCTTGGCAACAATGAAGCCTCCTACAAAAATAAACAAATACAGTTACATTACGAAAACTCCTTTCCAAATGTACTTGATAATTTCGAAAACCTATTTGACGATTTCTGAAATCCAATTTGCTATTCTGGAATCTAATAAACATATTCTGAAATCCAACTACCAGATAGTTGCATAATGGAAAATTGACTTTATAAGCCAAAAATTACACTTACTTCTC